TTTTAAATTATTTTTTTACATTTTTTACATTTGGTGGTAGGTACTTAAACTGAAGTGTTACAATGAGGAGTTGGGTAAGGGAAATCATTTTAAGGCAGTGAAATAATGGAAAACTAGAAGACTGAGAGGAGGCTAATTAGAAGTTTGGGACACGTGTAGAGATACAATAAATCTTGATTCCCCATTAGGTGGTGGACAGCCTCAATTTCTGACTGGAAGATTTCCAGTTATAGCCCATGTGAGACCTGGCTTTACTTTATTTACTATCTTTGAGGTTGCCTGTGGTATTCTTAAAGTAAATTTCCTTTTTACTTGAATTAGGTGAAGTGACTCTTCCCTTTAACCAAATGATGCCCAAGGCAATGAAGATTCAGAATATAGGATAAAGAACAGGATCAGGGAAACAGTTCCAAACTTGGTCACCTAGAGATTGGCATATCCAGTGGACATTTGATGTGTAAAATCTTTGAGGTAGAGATTTTAAGGTCATGAAATTGTGGAAGTGAATGAGAGCTTCCATAGAAAGTGAGAAGAGCAGAAGGTTTAGGAGCAGACTGTGGACACCAACTCCAAGGGCTGTTTGAGGAAGGAAGATCCAGTACTAGTGGGCTGACGGAGAAGAGCCAGGTTTGGGAGGGAGCCAGAGAGCTGATGGCCGCAAAGTCAGGGTGGTACAGTGTCAAGAAAAAAGAAAAGGCGGTCTCATGTACTCAAGAAAGATCAAGTACCGTGGGGACTGAGGAGGCCATTGGATTTGACAGTGAGGTCAGTGATGGTCTTTGCCTGCTAGCGTGGTTTCTGTGGAGTTAAGGTAAGTATTCTAAGTCTGATTTCAGCAGGTCAAAGAAAACTGATGCATTGATGCATCCTGATGAACTATCAAAAATATAGTGGATGATGATGAGGAGGAGGGGAGGGGAAGAGGTGAATGAGTTAGGACTGAAGTACACCTCAAACTAAAAGCCAGACTCACTGCTGTCAAGTCATTTCCAACTCAGCAACCTTGTAGGACAGAATGTAAGTGACCCTTAAGGTTTCTCAAGGCTCTGACTCTTTATGGAAGCAGACTGCCACATTATTCTCCCACAGAGAGGCTGGTGGGTTTGAACTATTGACCTTTCAGTTAGCAACCGAGCACTTTAACTGCTGCACCAGCAGGGCTCCTGAAGTCGACCTTGTTGTTGTTGTTGTTGTAAGGTGCTCTCAAGTCAGTTCCAACTCAGAGACTGTGTGCAACACAACGAAGCACTACCTGGTCCTAAGCCATCATCATAGTTATTGCTGAGTTTGAGCCTGTTAGAAGCCACTGAGTTACTCCATCTCATTGATGGTCTTCCTCTTTTACACTGACCCTCTACATTACCAGAAGGTTGGTGGTTCAAACCCACTAGCCACTCCCTGGAAGGATGACAGGGCAATGTACTTCCATAAAGATTAAGCCTGGGAAACCCAATGAGGGTTGCTATGAGTCAGAATTGACTCAATGTCAGGGAGTTTGGTTTTGGTTTTTTGGCTACTTTACCAAGCATGGTATCCTTCTCCAGGGACTGGTCCTCCCTGGTAACATGTCCAAAGCACACTTTGGACATGTTGTCAGGGAGTCCAGTCCCTAGAGAAGTAGACTTAGTGATAGTCAAATAACATCTCCTTAATTTAACACATGAAGGAGCTCTGGTGGTGCAGTGGTTAAGGCATTTGGCTGCTAATCAAAAGGTCGGGTTCAAACCGACCAGCCACAGAAGAAAGATGAGGCAGTTTGCTTCTGTAAAGATTTGCAGTTCTGGAAACCCTTTGGGGCAGTGCTGCTCTGTCCTGTGGAGTTGCTGTGAGTCAGAATCGACTTGTGGCACTGGGTTTAGTTTTGTTTTGGCTGGATCTGGAATCAGATGCCAAACTTGGTCATGATGCACATGTGAAAAATTATTTGTACCCAATTAAGGGAGAAACTGCATGATGCTATAGTTTTGTTTTTGATTGGGAAGATCATTAAATTTCAAAATAATGTTATAAAGGCACTTGCTGAATTTGGAAGGTAAAATGCTGAATTTTAAATTAACCATTGTTATTTATGGGTGGTATGTCTTGTCCATGGGCAGTTGGGTGAAGCTAAAATATTGATAACATGTATTTTTGAGCATCCAGACCCATAATATAACTTTAGTGTTTGGTATAAGAGCACCACCTATAGGTTTCTGAGAAATTTAGAAAAAGGACTTGAAAGCCAAACCTAATGAAATAAAAACCTAATAAAATTCTTTCTAGTTTTTTCCTAGAATTGGTTTTTCAATTTATTTAAAAGTTAACAGTTTTCTGTTTTGTCATAAAAAAAAAAAAATCCCACCTGGTGTTTCTACATAATCTCTCACTGCTCTTAAAACAGCTAATACATATTTGAATACTTACATGCCAGCATTGTAATTCGAAGTTAAATACAGTTTAACTCAGAATTATATTATTCTCTCTAATGCAGATGAATCTTTTAATGAAAATAAGTAATTATCTACATTCTGGGGCAAGAGTGATGATTGGTTTTGCTTGTTTATTTGTATGTTTAGTTGTATCTTCATGAACTTAAGAATTCCTTTATTATACTACTCTGGAACGCTGTGTCAAGAGAGTATTTTAACAAAGGTCTTGTAAATAACCCAGGGAATCTTCTTCATTAAATTACTGTGATCACTCATTAGAGCAGTTAGAAGCAACACTCTGGTACTTTATTGTTAAGCTCTTAAAATAGAATTACATTTGGGTAAATTTAGTCTCCTTCTGAACTATCATTTATTAAAATTTGATTTATTTTTTGATAAGAGAAATTGACTCTTAATTTTCACAATTAAAAAATAGGGAGATTTGACTGCATGGACAGTTAGAGGTATGCTAGGCCCTTAATATATATCCTTGTATTCTGTGTCATGAATCTCTGTGTTCTGTGAGTGATTCAAAACAAGGTCCTTTTGGTAATGTGCCCTAATGCCATAATAGACCCATTTTAAGCTTGAACTTTGTTTCTGTGGTAGAGTATACTTTTAAAGCCTTGATTACATTTTTTTTTTAAGGTAATGTGTTACTCTATAGAAACAAGAATTGGCTCTTAAGCATAATAACTTTCTTTGTTTTAATTGTTATAGATCAAAATACTTTTCTAAATCACATAGTATATTGTTCAGATTTCTTAACTTGTATTGAACAGTGTATATAATTTCTAGGTTTTAAAAAAAAAAAAGCTAATATTTCTAAATTAGGATTTTAATAGGGATATTTGGCTGTCTACAAATTGCGTTTCCTGATTTTTAAAGTAACAGAACTTAAATAGCTTGGAGTCCAGGCTCCATATGTTGTCCATATGTTGTACCAAGAGCTTTGCTTACACCAATTCATTAATTCATTCAACAACTCCTTTAGATCAGTGTGTATATTAACTAATTATTTATAATATAATGCAACAGTCATGTTTTAACTTTTGGAAGATAGGGAGTAATTGTATTCTGGTCATGAACTTTTAGTTCCGTATGTACTCTTCATTATTTTTTCTGTAAATTGCCTCTCACTTCCGGTATCTGTACTCTGGCAGCGGCTCTCCTCACATAAAATTTGCTACTTCTCATCTAGGAGCTCTGGTAGCATAGTGCCTAAGGCACTTGACTGCTAACCAGAAGGCTGGCGGTTCAAACCCACCAGCCACTCCTCAGAAGGAAAGTTGGGCAATCTACTTCCGTAGTGATACTGCCTCAGAAACCTAAGGAGGGGTTGCTGTGAGTCGGGGCTGACACAGTGGCACGTAACAGCAACAACAACTTCTCATCTGCTCTTATTTTAAAATCGGGTAATATAATTTGTTGAAATAGCATTAAGTAATTAGTTCTAGGATTTTAAGTTCTACTGAAGGCTTAAATATTTTTTGTAACCTGCTGACTTTGTTTTTGATTGGGAGAGAATAAACTGTCAGATTGTTAGCCAAGGTTTGGATAGGTAAGATGGTAACTATTTTGCAGTGAGAGTTTGAGATAATGAAAGGAGAATAATCAAGGAAATTATTAATAGTATATTCTGTATGCATAAGTATTTTCTTCTACAATATTCAGGTATCTAATCACATAATAAGGAGCTCTGATGGCATAATGGTTAAAGCACTCAACTGCTAACCAAAAGGTTGGAGTTTTGAATCCACTAGCTATGCTCTATGGGAGAAAGACATACCTGTCTGCTTCCATAAAGATTTATAGCCTTGGAAACCCTATAGGGCAGTTCTCCTCTGTCCTATAGTGTCTGTGAATTGGGATCAACTCAATGGCGTGGTTTTTTTTTAATCATATAGTATCTTAATCATTAACTATGTCGAGTTTTTATTTTTGAAGTAATTTAGGAATTATTCATGGCCCTGTAATAAAGCTTGGGAGTGTTAATAAGGTTTAAATCTGTTACATAGTAATTTGGGATAATGTTTTGGTTGCTTTATTTTAATCATCCATTAACTTCTTAACAAAAATTACAATCCAGCATTTTAAAGGTGTGTTTATATGCTTTTGTTGGGAAGACTGTTTATATTCTTTCATTTCAAGTGTCATAAATTTAGCAAGGTACTCCTGAGGATCTAATCACAGTAGTCTACCAGTCCACGTTGAACTTTAAGTAGTTTATTAGAAAACAAATGTAAAAGGTAAGTTTTGAAGGTGGATGGATTGATGATAGCTCACTTGCTCGGTCTCTAGGACCAAAGCTAGCAATCATAACTCTTAAACTTGTTATTCAAAGATCCAGTCTGAACACGTCTTAGCCATATACTTAATTAGGATAACAGAATTCGACTAAAAGGGAAGGTAAGAATATAGCTCATTAGAATAATAAAAGCTTCTTATGTTGCTAATACCACATTTTATTGTATATGATTTGATGTGTAAAGTAGGGTTTTTTTTTTTACTTTTTTAAAATAAACACTGATTTTCTTAATGCTGTGTTTTGAGGTATAATAATTAGCCAAGATTGCGTTGGCTGTCTTCCAGCTTGTGGAGAGACTCCAGAACAAATTCACGCACCAAGTGGTATAATCACGAGCCCAGGCTGGCCCTCTGAGTATCCTTCCAGAATCAACTGTAGCTGGTTCATAAGGGCAAACCCAGGGGAAATCATTACTATCAGGTAATTGTGATGCCTTTCTATGTTACTGTATATTACTTTATTACAGAATATAAATTCAGTTCCCAAGTGTCATTATTCAGTGCACAGTAATACAAAAAGAAGCTTTTCCAAAATATAGTAATTATACCTATCACTTCATCTCAAGGGTAGGAATGATGGCCCATCCTTTTACCTGCTGTTAGCAGAGCATGTGTTTTGAGCATTTTCTAGTGGTAGATTAGCATTGAGCCATCCACATTCTTCTGGCCCACCTTTGAACAAAAGGTGCACATTTGCAAAATGGCTTATTAGGATCGGTACTGTGATCATTGGCCATAGGATAAACAAACAACACCCACTAATCTACTTGGAGATCTGGCCGAGGACCTTAGTCTCATTAGTAGAGTTCTCTACCTGAATGAGTTTAAAAATGTAGGTGTCAGTCTCTATATGTGTGTGTATGAAACATGAAACAAGTTAATAGTGGATAGTTATTGTGTTTAAAAAAATATTTTTTATAACTTTGAACAAATGAACATTTGTTAAGAATACAAAATGAAAGGTATTCTTGGGGAAATAAGCATGAGATTAAGATTCTAAAAATGATAGAAATAAGGAAGATTAAGATAAATTATAAAATCATTTAGTGAATTAATTGCAGAGAAAAAGTGTGGGAATAAAGTATTAAGGATAAAAAAAATTCAGTAGTTTTCCTTGCTTAAGGAAATTATATCAAGGCTATATTAAAAATACATATTTCCCTGAAGGCAAAAAGTAGGTGGGGAATAGTGTGCCTAAACAAACTAAGGAGCCCTGGGAGTTAAGTACATTGGTTAAGTGCTTGGCTGCTAACCAAAAGGTTGGTGGTTCAAACCCACCAGTGGTTCCACTTTAGAAAAGACCTGACACTGTGGTCCTATAAAGATTACAGCCTAGGAAACCATATGGGACTGTTGTACTCTGTTCTGTAAAGTTATTATCAGTCAGAATCGATTAGATGGCACACAGCAACAGCGGGCTCGCAGTTGAAACTGAAACATAAGTAAGAATGTCACGCCCATCCCAGATATAGTATTCTGCTACAGTGAAAGGCACCTTTGGCATCCTTTCACATGTAACATTTTTATGGATAGGAATCATGGAAGTTTTTAAGATTTAGAAGGGACTTTGCAGATCATAGACTCATCTGTTCATTTTACTTTTTTAAAAATGAGACTTGTAAATAAAATCTACTTTTGCATCTTTTTCCATTTAAACTTATTAACTAATGGGAATACCAGTCTTTCTTGAGAAATGCTACTCTAGCCCATCTCCTATTCTACAGTGGCCATGTAGTGTTTTATTTTTGAATCCTTCTGACGTGGTGTAGTGCCTAAGGCACTTGACTGCTAACCAGAAGGCTGGCAGTTCAAACCCACCAGCCACTCCTCGGAAGAAAGACTGGGCAATCTACTTCCGTAGAGATACCAACTCGGAAACCCAAGGAAAGGTCTCTGTGAGTCGTAAGGGACTTGACAGCAATGAGTTTTGTTTTCTGCCTTAGTTTTGGGACCCTGGAGTTCAGCTTATTTATGAGCTGCTCCACTTTCCTGTGAGATTTCACAAAATGAGGGACACTAAAGACCAAGTCCGGTACTGAAATGCAAAACAAAATTATAACTAACCCTACATCTGAAAAGAAATTTCCTAAATTCTGGAAGGAGTTAATGAATTTGGACTTACACAGCTTAATTAGGATTAAAATGTGATGTCAGTAATTGTCTTAGTTCTTCATTGAAGTCATTGTCATGGTAATAGTAGAACTTGAAAAAGATGATACATACACACAAAGACAGGTTTCATTTTAAATATTGATATAAAAGCTTAAGTAAATTATTCAGAAGAATCATATACCATAATCAAGTGCAGTTCATGTAAACATGCAAAAGATGAGTCAATATTAGGACATTGTAAATTTATCATATTAATAAGTCAAAAGAAAAAGCGTATGATTATCTAGAGTAGTACATGTTTTAAAGCAGTTTGAGAAAAAGACAACATTCTTTCCTGAACTGAAAATAAATAAATAGTTAATAAAATGGAATTTGAAATATGGCTTTTAAAATCTGAGTAAAAGAGGGAAACTTAAATTAGGAGCTGTAAGCAAACAATACCAAGAGCTGTTTGAAACTGGTTGAAGATGGTGGTGGCACAGAGGCGTCTTGACTTCACTCCTCTTCCTTGAAACTCACCTAAGCCAGCAAATCCATGGCAGACAGAAGATTTCATTCCAGCTTCCTGCTTGAAGCCATGGACTAAGATGGAGCTAATTTGCTCAAGGAAGAGGCTGAAAAGAACTTTCACTTACTACTACCTGTCTTTCACTAACTACTACCTGTACTGATAGGGGCTGAGGGCTTAGAAAAGCGGGAGGACACACTCTAATAAATACGGATGTAAGTCATTATGAGTCAGAATTGACTCAGCAGCACACCAGCCCCACTGACTCCGTGCCAGGAGCTGCAGGACTCGGTAACACCATTGAAGACTGGTCTGAAGTGGAGATCCAGGCAGACCGATGGCCAAGCAGCAGCGGCGGTGGAGGAACCTGGAGTGAGTGAGGGTGAAAGAGAGAGAGAGAGAAAACCAAAAAACCTTTTACAAAGTAAATCTGTATCCCAAACTCCAGAGTGCATAAGACCTAATGCTAAGAAGATCAGTCAACAAAATCAAGTTGGAACACAAATTTACGCCAGGTAATATTAACTTCATTATGTCAGGGGTGCTTTTTAACTGGTTTATGCCATGGGCGCTTTTGATAGTCTGGTGAGACATATGGCTCCTTAGGCATAATTAAGTTTTTTAATTCGTAAAATAAAATACACTGCATTACAGAAGGAACCAATTACATTGAAATATAGCTATCAGATATTTTTAAGTGTTTGTAAAATAGTAATATGTGTTTTTTTAAATTAAAATGTGAACAAGATCAAGTGATAATTCTAATAACTACTGTAAGTTCAAAGTTTTTATGAGTGTAAATAGTATCTCTGTATACATGTAGCAACTGAAATGTAATAGGAAAATTACATATTTCTGTTGATACATGATTTCTGTTGGTGACAGTGACAAGTACTGTAAATACTATTACTGTTTGTCACTTATATTCATAATTGAAGGAAATGCTAATTTTCACTTAGAGGCTAGTGAAAATAAAGTTTTGATTTTTTTCCCCCTACCCAATTTGAAGAATAGAAACACTAATTCTCTCTTTTGGACTTTGTTAGAAAAAGAGTGGGTCAGTGTTTGAATTAAAACATCTAAAGATTAAAAAGGAGCTCTGGTAGCATAGTGCCTAAGGCACTTGACTGCTAACCAGAAGGCTGGCGGTTCAAACCCACCAGCCACTCCTCGGAAGGAAG